TGTGTCGGAGGGTTAATACACTTTTTTCAGAAAGATTTTTTTAAGAAGTCGGCCTAAATCAGCTTTCCTGTGTGACAGTTCTCTCATCTTTCTGCAGATGAGTAGAACAATTGATCATAACCTTGTAGTAGGTTGGAGGCATGGATCAGTGTGTGTGTGTGTGTATGTGGCTTTTTATTGTAAGCCTATGTTCGCTATTCAGACTATCCGTATTTTAGGCCTCTCAGACAAACTCTCCTGAGTATCACAAACCTTTTGCATAACTTGGGGCAGTAGTGCTGTAACTTTCTTTGTAGCTACTGAATGACAGACATTGTGATGGTTTTCACACACGTGAGTTCAAAGAGATTGTCCTGGCAAAAAGGCAGATTCTTTAACATGTGATCTCGAAAGAATTTTCTCTCCTCTGTTTACAGTTTTGGGTCTAACCAGACAAGTATAATAGTCCACATGGCTGCTTGAGCAGTTGGATTTATGTTTATGTCCTTGGATACTTTTATAATTCTCAAAAACTATCAGGTTCATCACAAAACTAATAAAATTTGTGGCTCGTACACAGCAAGTTTACAGCTATTTCAAACATCATATTGCCAAGAGTTGTGAACACAAAGAAATGAAAAGAAGCAAAACCATCAGACTTGCAATAATATTATATGACTACTCAATTAAGCTCTGTGTGTCAGTCAAGACAGTTCTGTGCAGGCTCATATCCTGTCCAGCAGGGCTTACTTGGGCACATGTGATACTGATTCAGCTCCCCTGGGCTGTGGATCATCTGTACAGACTATATGTGTATTCCAGCGTGTATGAGCCAAGGCAAGTACAGATCAGGCAACAGCATCACTATAGGCAATTTCCTAGGTTCTGCTGCTTAATATCAGCAAACTCTAACATTTTCCTTTCTAGAAAAGCAAATGGTGCCTTTAGAATAGAGGTAATAAAGCACACAGTAGAATTTAAAGCTATGAAATATCAATATATCATATGTAATCCTGTGAGATGACAATGCTGTAGAGTCCAATGGCTTCATCTGGCAGGGTTTAGGGTACCAAACATGCTGAAAAACTTGGACTGTAGATATTTTCTATCTCTTGTTCAGTTGAAAACAAACTGAGAAACTACAATTAGTTAGAAAAGGGAACAACCACAACATCTACAAGTTTGTCATCAGTTTTGGGAAAAAGGGAGAGTAAAGGCCCATTACTGTTCAGGAAAGGGAGTGAATAGTAGATAATGTGTAATGGATTGAAGAATAGAGCACACCATTTTTCTTCCAGTGAACAATCTAGTTTTAACAAGATAATATTCATTTCAACAAGATAATAGCAGACAAAAAATCTGAGTTGAAGTCCTTAGCACGTGTGTTAAATTCTGCAGGGACAGATGAAATTTGCCCTAAACTAATTTTTGGGGAAAATGAAAGAAAACAAAAACACCAAATCAAACAAATAAACAACCCCAAAGGAAAAAAAAAAACAAGCAAAATGTAAATAACTGAAGCAGTCTCTGCAATGTTAAAAGTTATTTCTGAGAAGCTATTCAAGAAAACGAGAGGACTTCAGAATGATAGAGTCTCATTTTCAAATGTAGGGAAAAGTAAGGCCCAAAATAATGCTACACCAAGTGGATAAACAGAGAAACAATATAACTTCCATCTTTGACAAAAAAGTTTACTTGCTGCTAACAGGTTAGGTAGTCTATAATTTGACTTTGCCAAGATTTTTGACACAGTTCAATTTTAAAGGAATACTAAGGAAACTAGTTGACCTAAATGGGAGCAGCTAGTCTTGTAATGAATTATTAAATTTTTTGATAATGTGTTTGAGTCTAATCATTAGCAGTTCCTTGTTAAAGTGGAATGGCATTTCAAGGAGCATTCCAGGCTCAAACTTGATCTGATTCAATGTTTTCATCAGTTTTGATAATGAAATAGAAAGTATGTGTACAAGATTTGTGATATTCTTCTGGGAAAGATTTTAGTCACTTGGGGAGACAAAAATGAAGAGGAAAAATATTTTGACATATGTGAAATACACTCTAATATGGAATTACATAGAGTGCAAAGTGTTTCAAAAAAGAAAGCAAATATATTAATATAAACTCTGAAATAATAGTTTGTTAGCAATATATTGAACTAGGATGTGAGAGCTACAGGGTACCAGAATTTATGTGATGAATTAATAGAGAGTTACTGCAAATAAATGCTACTTTAGCATGTAATGACATACAGAATTGGAGAACGGCAGCTAGTACTTATTTCATTCTTCATGTAACAAATGAGGATGCAGTTGAATAAGTATTTCCAAGTCGAGGCATGATGCCTTCAGGAAGATGTGAGGAATTTGGAGAGAATCGGGGGAAGTCAACGCTGCCTGTGGGGAGGCATGCAGGAGGAGCCGTCCGGGATCCGCCAGCAGGGGGCGGCCACGCGCCGAGGGGCATCGGGCCGGGCTGGGGAGGGACACTGCCCCGGGGAGGGGGACATTACCCCGGGGAGGGGGACACGGCCCTGGGGAGTGGGGAGACACTACCACATCCACCCAAGGGGGCTATCCAAATATAACTACCTGAAGCCCACCCCCAGGGGCCATACAGGAAGCGACACAAAAACAGAACTGAAGACAAGCTGTGTCCCTCAGGCCTAGATGGAGGCTACATACAGTCCCCATGCCCTGGGCAGTTTATGTGAGTAGAAGTCCCAGGTGAGACAAACAAATCAAACCAAACCAACCCAACAACCCCCAAACACACCACCAAAAAGCATATCTACAATTAAACCAAAATCTTTGTCACAGAACACTTCCAGCTCCTTAGTGGCTTACAAGCACTACTTAAGTACCTTCCAAAAAAATTTCTTTTGACAAAACTCAACAGAAGCAAAAGGAGAATATGCTGTCTTACTTTGTTCTGGTTGCAGGTGATACAAATAGTATGTGCTTAGTAGTCCCAGGATATGAAAGGCTTCACGGGTTTCACCATAGCCAATATTATGTCTCCTTATTAGGCTGTAATTCTCTATCTTCCACTGGAAGGATACATATCACTCTTGGAGGCAAAAGTCAGCCTTAGAATAGTTCAGAGATTCTGGAACAAGCTGTGAAAAACCATAGCTTAAACCTAATACCAGTCTCAAAAATGACACACCAAAAAAAGTACAAAAAATTTTAAAAACAAAGGAAACTGGAAAAAAAAGGGGGGGGTGGCTTTAGAAAATTTGTAGTATTTCAGTGGCTAAATAAAAACGAGGCTTTCTTTTTCCAAAGACCTAATTGTAAAGAAGAGGCATTTTGGTTTTAGCTGCAACAACTAATATTTTTAAGTAATTCCATAAAAGCAGAAGCAGCTAAAAGTTTTTAGGAGGTTTCACTTGGAGAACTGCTGATGCTGGAATATCATTTCAGCCTTTCAACCATCAGCCTGTCATCATCTGCAGACTCAGTCCTTATAGTCTTCCTATCTTGCCCTGATGGACACAAGCAGCACAGTTTTTGACTTTTCATTTCTTTCAAATAATTTCTGACTACATTCAATCTCAGTTTTCTTTTGCGTCTTTATTAATGAAAACTCCCTTAATGCACTCTCCCTTCCATAGAAGCCTGACATGCTTCTCCTTACTCATATCTGAATATAATTGTTCCCATTCTCATTTTGCTAATACAGCTGGTACAGAATACCTTATTAATAAAACAAGATTTTATGAAAATGGTTATATTTCTGTGCAGACATGTTCATAAGAAAGGGGGAAACCCACCTCGTCTGCGAAGTTCTCGTCTGCCAAGAACTGATGAATCTAAGATACAATTGATCTGACAATTTCAAAAAGTGTCCCTCAGATTCTGAAGATTTGAAATTTGGGACAATACATCAAACCGCGCTATAGGGTCTAAAAGTTTGGGATCACCAACATCCTCCTGGTATGTGGCATTGTTTTACTGATTTTCTCATCCTGGTGAAATAACAGTAACTGTTAATGACAGCAACATCATGTTCTTCTCTTGCCATTAGATTGTGGCGGAGTAATAGAAGCACCCTTGAATATAGTTTTGGTAAGTTAGAAAGCACCAAGAACCAGAAATGGGATATTTTTCAGGTATCAGAAATGCCCTTTGCTTACAACACTGAAAACTAATCACTACTATCACCTCCTGTGGCAACACACAAATCAGGTGTTAACTCCTCTACCTCTTCCTGTTTTTCTTACAGATAAAGACTGCTCACAACAGTTTAGCACACTTTTGGGAAGGATGTCTCGACCCACTTTGTTTCTTCTACATGAAATCTTTCTTTGCCTTGTCTAAACTAATCTGTGTTCTCGCCAGAGTAACAAGGGAAGCACTCCAAAGAGGAGGAAATGAATGTATGTGACTGTGTATATAGATGTGTCAGCTAGTTTGGATGTATATGTACATATCTCAGTATGCTTGCTAAAACTGTTGAGCCCATTAAATCTCAGAGACGGAACTAAGACTGCAAAAATCTGCTTGGTAGATTATTAATCAAGTATAGGATTTTCTGTGTCTAGGGCAGAAAGTAAACCTCCAGAGATTCAGCTCACAAAGGCTGTACCTGCTGTGCAGATAGGCAAAGGACTCATGAATTCTGGAGAAATAATAGAAGCTCTGGAGAGGCCGTGGGCCTGGCCTGTACTGTAATTAAGTAAAAGTCATTTGTGCTGTTCTTATTTTTCACTTTTTTTCTATTAAATCAGCCCAGCCACTTAACCTTGAAATAAATTTTTGTTAAAGCAGTACATGAGGCTTATTTATTGCAAAATAAAAAGTTACAGCCATTCAAGATAATAAAGAACAAGGCCTACTGTTTGATTATCTCTAAACAGAGCAATTACAAATTCTGATCAAATCAGGAATCCCTTTAATTCATCAATATCATATTAAGAAGCAAAATTACTTTCTTAAGCAAAAATAGTTTCTCACGATTTTGTGAAAAATCATGCATATTTTTTACAAAATGATGGAATTTAAATCATGGTTTATCATATTGAAAATACTGCTGGTTCCACGAGGCACACAACTATAATAGTTCTTCCTGAGGAAAACAGCAGGTCTGCTGCTGCCTTCTTAGACAAGAGGGTTAATGGATCTTGCAGCCAGGAGATTAATTTAGGGAATGCCTGTAGGGGTAGTATTTGCTGGACATGGGACTTAGTCACAATCTTCTTCTGAAGTACAGAAATTGAGGATGTGTTTTAAAATGATACATGTTTGAAAATGTCTGCACAGTCCCCATTTGTGCCGCTTGGGAGGTGATAGGAGAGCACAAGGAACTTTGTAGGCAGTATTCCTCAGAGAAGGTCACTGGTCTTTCTGATGTTTAACATGACTATTGTGATTAGAAAGCTTCAGTAGTTCAGCGGAAATCAAACCTCCTGAGGTATCATTGTCACACAAAGTACAATAGTCACTACCACTGAAGGACATATCTTTTTTCCCCAAAGATTCTCCAAGCATAAGAAAGTCACCTTTTCCATGCTGTGAGTGAGAGGGATAATTCCTTCCAACACTAGGGCTCTCAAGGTTGTCTTTAATTATTTCAGAGAATTTTGGGCCAACGGTATCATCAGCATGGTTTGGTGCAAACAATAGTCCTGGCCACATCTCTATCTCTTCTGCTCTTATGTACCTGCTGGGGACATACTGCTGGCTTGGACCTGAGACAAATGCAAAGTTTTCTTCTGCAGTAACCACATCTGTGCTTCCTGTAGGTTTCAATGAGATCTGGGAAATCAGTTCTTGGGTGTTTAGATCAGAAACTCTATCTGCATTCATTTTTCTTGAGGTGCTGGCCTCTTCTCTTTCAAGCTGGCTACAAGCCTCATTCAGTCCAACCCAGTCCTAATGAAAGCATCAATAAGTTGGGGTCATTTTGCATAGTTACTCCAAAATAACTTTTCTTTCTTTATATAGCTTTGGCACAATAATCCAGATGTTTAGTGCAAATCCAACAGGTAAAGTTAGAGTAATAGGGTAAAAACCTAGCAGCTAATTTCACAAATGTTTACAAGATTACACCACTAGAATATAATGCAAGCTGCTGGTATTGCTTTGGTTTTGAAAAGGTGCACCTTTTGCATTCAGTCTGAACTGGGAGCCACTGGAGGCGTTCCACTTCTAAGGAGCAAGAAGCTGAACAGAAGCTCTGGTGGTTAACTAGTATGCGGAAGCAGCAAAAAGAGAAACTATAACCTTTCAGGAAGATCAGAATCATCAGTGTCAGTAAGTCTGCTCAGGATCTAGAATTATTAATCCCAGAAAAAAATCCTCCTCTCATAAACGGAGGGTCATAAGAAAGAAATTAAATTTATTTCTTACCTTAAAATTCCCATTGTGCAAACTATAGAGTGGCTGAAAGAAAGCAGCTGGCGTGGGAATGTTAAAGCAGGCGAGGCTTTTTGCCCTAAAGTGAGAAAACACCACTTAAAAAAAATAGAGTTTTTCTGTGTTCTGTCTCCATGATACTGGCTAGATGAACCCCACCCCACTTTATTAGTAAGATTGCACAAGAAGCCCACTCATCATAATTTCTGACTTCTCATGCAATTATTTTTTTGCCACCTGTGCATGCATTTAATTTTAATTTAGGTTTTTTCTAACCTGAAGCACAGTCTCATAATTTTATTTGGAATATGTCACAAACTTAATATACTTGTCTATGATTCATTATATACACTGAGCTGTTTAAGCATTTGTTTATCAGCTTACTTAATCTAAACCACTGTTTCTGAAAGTATTTTAGAGAGTTCTAGTTTCATTACATTTAAACAGAGAAATTCTGCCAGACATCCTTGCCCCTTTATTGGAGTCTATCCTATAAAAATGTTTTATCATGTGGACATAATGTATTCTGTTTCTCTACGAAAAATGTGTATATGGAGCATAGTAATGTATGTCAAGGTAAAAAAGAAAGAGGTACTTATCCTCTGCCAGAATAAAAAATTGCAGACGATTTTTGAACCAAGGTTCTAAAACCACTTTTTTGTCTGTGCAACTTGGTCTCAAATGAATCAGTCAGTTTATTTTGCCTTTATTGCCTTATTCCTGACTCCTGCCAGGAATATCACACGTAGCTTGACATTAGTTTAACAATCTTTATGGGTTGCTGTGTGCTTGCACTTTTAATTTATCTACATGAAACTTCAAATATTTCCATGTGCTTAAATTTCTTTAAGATACCATCATCCTTGGACTTCAGTCAAATTTGGGAGTCTCAAAGGTATTTTGGTCTCCTTAAGGACTGTATAGTGTGTCATTAACTATCATCAGCCAAGGAACATGTCACATTCCAGAAGACCTTTTGGAAATGACTGAGTCTGTGCAGCAGAAACAGGAAGGAAAAATAATGTAATGACTCTTGATTTACCCTTTTCAGGCCATAAAGATCAAGGGGAACTTACTGAAAGTCACATACCTTGAGGAAAGCTTGCAGTTCCAGAATAAATAGAGTAGAGTGCCAAAACTCAGAGGAATGAACAAGTACTGCATAGTTTTGATATTTAGAATCTTTTCAGAGACTTTGGGGACATCTAGAAATAGAATCAGCACAAAAATTTTTAATAAAAAGTCAGGAAGTCAAGATAGAACCCCAAGTAACCAAGGATTACAAATGAAACAGGCAGCTAAAGGCCTTAAGGAAAATAATTTGGCTATGGATAATTGAAGAAAGTTACCTCTGATTTGAAAAGCTTCATTTTACCACCTTTTTTTTTTTTTAACATGGGCATGAAAAGAAATGAAATGAGATGAAATTCTTTGTACCTGCTTTTTTAAACACTGTTGTCTGGCTCCACTCACTCCATTGACTGTGGTATGAATTCTCATTTTCAGAAACTTTGCAGCGAACTCTTGCAGCATAAGCTATGCCACTGCGAAGCTCTCTGGCTTCAATTTCTACTTGTGGCAGTGAACTGGGCAGTGTCTTGTTCATTGCAACCTGCAAAGTATTACAAAGCATTGCTGTTAATGAGATTGGGCAAAAGGATGGTCTTTTAAATATTCTTTTTTTGTTGGTTTTTCCCTTCTCTTTTCTTTTCCATGTTTTCTTTTCTTAGATGCAAGAAGAGGTCCTGAATAATGATGCAGAGTTCATAAGAAGGAGAGTTATTGAACTTCAGTATTGATGTTTAATGTAAAATCTCTCAGCCTTAGTATGGGAAACCAGAAAGGCCATCTTAAGCCAGCTGGCAGAGCTCAGTGGCAAGGCCATTGTACCCAAAGAAAAAAGTAGGATCACTGTATGCCTCATCCAGTTACCTCCCAGGACATGCTGTACTCCTTATACTGCAACTCATATTGGAGAATTTCAGTGAGGTACCAAGGCACATTCCACACACTCCACCATATCTGGCACTTCCTGGCAGTGGCATTGCTCTGGATGTTCAAAGGTGGATCAAGTTTTACTGCAAATAGAGGAGGCGGGGTTTTTTTCACAGTGTTTGGGACACCACAAAAGAAAATGCATGATATTAGGGTGACTGAAATAATGGAAGATAAAGCTGAGTCTAAAGAGGGATACTAACACTAGCAGTAGACCAAGTTATCTTTACAGCATCAGAACAGCTACAGATCTGACATAAATTAAGGATAACTCCAGTAGTCCCTAGGGTTAATCTTGCAAGCAAAGAACCACTCTGGATATCACATTCTGCCCTTACAACATACCACAAATACGGACAGGTTTTGAGAATTTCTCCCTGGTACCAGGCCATGGGACACTGTTAAAATCCATGACTCCTTATTACATAATTTCTTAGAGAAAAATTAAACAGTAAAACGAACAAATAATTGAAGCAATCCAATTGCAAATTACCCAGGGCACAAGAAAGCATGATGCAGATGAGAAGTATTGTTGAATGGTGCTCCAGATCCAGCCCCTCTGAAGTCTGGGAAAAGTCAGGATGGAGAGACTCAGTGACTGCATCCTTACTGATGCAGTTGACACATTGCAATCTCTGGGGATGGGCAGACTTGATTGTTTTCATTGTTTTCCCTTGCTATCTTTGAGACATCCTTTGTTAGGCAGCATATCAGACCTATCCTGAAGCTGCTGGGCAGAGCCTCAGCTCTCAGCTGTCCTGGTTCATACTTACTGTGCTTGCGGGGATTGTACTCTAGAAAGGCCATGTATGTCTGATTACATCCAAAGAAGTTTCCCTGGAGAGAGACTCTATAACCATCTGTTTCCAAGATCTGGCTGGCTAAATGAATTGTGCAGTGGTACTTATTCTGCATGCTCTCTGTGGCAGTCAGTTTGCAGCTGGCGTTGTGGCCCTTTGACCAGAGGCTAGAAGAATAAAAAGGCTGAAAGTTTCTTTTAAGTCATACAATTTAAGTGCTTTTCAGTTTATGCATGTGTGGCACCTTAGCACAGCACCACACTCTGGAAGACCATGAACCTCTTTAGTGCAGACAGCAAGCAAACCAGCTGGCTGGATGGATGGCAGGGCAGGACAGGAAGAAGACACCTTTATAACCTTACTGCTGACAGCACCAGATCTGAGAGCACCAGATCTCACAGAAGCTACACATAGCATCTGGTAGCTGTTCCCTGCTCCCTCTGAAAGTGAGAGAGCTGCTGTAACTGCAGGAAAGCAGGTGGGTTGGGGGACGGAGTGGATGGACAGTTGGTTACAAGTGCATGGCACAAAGGTAACAATAAGCTGTACATTAAGTCCTCTTGCACTACAAACAAACCAGTACTGACAGCAAAGTATGTTTGAAGTTGCTTTGCCTTTTTGTGGTTTAGCCATTCATTAGCAATTTTTTCACATTGCATGTGATCCCACAGGAAACTGGGATATCACAGTTTATCAGCTTGTCCCTCTTTCCATAGATTTAAAATCTAGTATTAATAAGAGTTAGGCTATTTTTTACTTAAGTGTAGCAGAATATAAGTCATCTAACTCAGAGTGGCTTACCATCATATAATAGTTACTGGTGGTCAAGTCAATGTTTCTACATAACCTAAATACATTAAACTCAAGTTATCCTATCAGTTAGCAAATGATTCCCCTGATTTCTTCTATTGAGGAAAAATTATTCAGATAATATTCTAAATTTCTTATTAAAGATTATGACTTGTATCTATATATATAGTATACATTAAATCATTAGGTGTTTAATTTCTAGGCAAAAAGGAAAGAAATTATTAGAAGTTGATTAGACAGCTTTACATAGGATGGCCTCTGTAAGTTCCCAGGTCATGGGGACCCAGAGGCCAGGAAGGAAAGGTTCTCTGCTCTGAGATGCCTGCCAGAATGGTTCACTAAACAGATGGAGAGCCCACAGCTGACAGGAGACCATGCAGCCATGTGCACTTGACTGCTGTGGCCCCTGAGGCTGTGGTGCCCCAGTAGAGATCAGCTTGAGGCCTGGGGTGATGGGGTGGCAGAGCTAGCTGTGCCACAGGTGTCCTGCTGTGGAGGGAGTAAAGCCCGCAGCTGGGCTCCATCTCTGCTTCTCAGTACTGCCCTGTCCAAGCCAGAGCTGGGGCTACCAGAGACAGCTCTTGGTGTGCAGTTCTTACTTGGTGAAATGCAGGTGGAAAGGTCCATTGCCCATGGGCTTCTCCGTTACCCACATGCAACTCACGGTAGTCATGTAGTTATTCAGGCAGCTCAGGCTGCCAGAGAGCTCTGCAGGGGAAGGAGACCAGAATTGGATTCATATATCACTGGATGATGCCTTGCGCAGCACACCAAATAAATGCATTACTTGTTAGTACTTCCTTTGCTGACACTGCATCAGATCTTCCTCATGTTCTTACTCTGTTGTAACACACTTCACTGCATGAGATGAGTGTAAGATCTTAGGGCAGGGACCTTGGGCAGTGGCTACACTTTTTCTGGTGCCCAGCTTGTCCTAGCTCAGTCCCCTAGGCCCGGCATTGTCAGCCAGCTGTACTGGCTCCTGGGACAGGGTAGTCACAAGACCTTGGATTGCAAACCGAAGGGTCTGTGAATGAAAAATGAGCTCAGACGTGTGCCTGTCTTTGTGCAGTGGACCTATTCCAGATCTTCTCTTACCTCTCCCTCTTCCTCCACCAAAGAGCAGCGCAGCAGCAATGCACAGCTGGAGCCCCAAAGGCCACACAACTCCTCCCATTCCAGATAGTATCTAGAACAGAATAATAATTCAGACCAGTTTTGTTGGTATTTCTACCAGTGGGTTGAAGCGTTAGCTGCATACTTCTGCCAGCCTGACAAAAACTGATCCTGAACCAGAGAGGGCACCAACTCAGCCATATAATTTCTTCTGTAGGAACTGTTGTTCTCATAGCAGTAAATAGTACTTTGCACTAAAGCACCACCTGCTTGAAAGGAAATCTACAATTCCTGCAATTTTATCAAGGGTGGGAGAAGGTGTGGGTGTTCTATCTTTCTTTCTTCCTGCATTTTTGTCATGTGGTTTGTGACAATTGAAGAGCAGCAGAGAGCCACAGTGGGTTGGAACCAATGTTCATGTTTCCCCAAATCCTGTTTCTGATAGTCAAAACCAGATGCTTAGAGAGAATCATAGTAGTAGAGCATCCATGCTCCTCTCTGAGCATTCTCAGCCTCCAGACATTTGCAGCTCACAGGCCTCCTGGAGCAACGTTATTTCTGCGTATTCAGAAAAAGGACACAGAGAGTAACAGATATGATGCTGGTCAAAGCACTCATTGGGAGATATAGAATACTTAGGTATAGAATACTAGCCATTATCCCAATTCACTGAAGGGTTATGCAAGGATGTTTGACGAACATCTTCCACAATATGGAACTCTACATCTCTACAAGGTTATTGTGGGCTCACTCTCTTTCTTTTTAACCGAAAATTCAATTCTCTGAATTGTCTCCTGATGAAGTTTTAATTTTAAATTACACTTTTTCACTAAAAGTTTCTGATTTGATGATTTTTTGGCAACATGCAATATGAAGAATATGGACCTATGGATATATGTAGCAATATGCGGTGTTTTAAAAAGATGTTTCCAGTTTGCATTATTTGCTGTTACCTGAGCACAGCAAATAAGCCCAACACCACTGCAAGGAGAGGGCTGCTCCAAAGAGCCTGAAACACAGAAAACTTAGAGTGAGTTTGTAGACAGAGACCACTAATCAGTATAAACAAAAACATCTTCTTGAAAGTAAAAAAAAATATTGAAGGAACAATGTTTGCACTACTTGACAAGCACAGACACTGAACTGAGCTTTACAGCTGGGGTAACAAGAGGGTGGAATGTTCAGTCTCAAAAGAGCTTGGGTTAGTTATTATAAGGAAAAAAAAGAAAAAACAATACCAAAGAAAACTTGCCAGAGATTATGATCTCTCTTTCAGAAGAAGCTGGGGAAAAGGGAAGGAATGTCAGGATAGGAGAAAAAAATAAGTACAGCATTAGCACAGGACCAAGTGTGTATAGCCTGACTATAGAATAATATTATGATTTCTAACCAACAAAGGATCTGAAGCAGTCTTGAAGTGTGCAAGAAAAACCCTATGCTTAGCAAGGGCTGTGATATAGTAATCATTAGGATTGTTTTACTGAAGAGATTAAGCCACCTGATCCATAACCAAGAATATCTTTCCAGTCATGAATTTCACAAAGCTAGACAACAGCATCCATGTATAACTTCTTGCACATGATTATGCCTGTCTATAATTCCCCTTGTCTGAATTAAATTGTAAAATAATTACAATGTTTCAGAAACTGATCAAGAGAAAAGGAGTATTTCTGGCTTTCATTTCACCACCTCTTCAGTTACGGGTTTTTCATAAATATCCTGTTTTGCTGCAGACTTTCTTCAGGGTGGGGGTTGTTAAGAGGAAGTGTCACCATTAGCTGATTTTAGCTGGGAGGCTGGGAGGCATGAAGTCTCTTGTGCTTATCATTCTAATCAGGTTTGCTTATGGTCCCTGTGATAAATACAGTAATTCTGACTAAATATAAAATAGAAAGAGCTGCATTAAGTAGAATTATTCATGTGCTTACAAGAAGTTGTGTTCAGGCACACAAACAAACAAACTTAGGTCAAGATAAGTAAACCAGGACAGAATGTTTCCAGGTAATTGTTACTAATTTGATAAACTCTCCCCACTCCCACGCAAGAAGTTCTTTGTTCAGTTCTGCAACGTTTGAAATGTGTTAGACATTTCTGGCTCTCTGGCTCTTCTGGAGGCAAATACAACATGTTTAAATGCAAATTTTTGTGTGAGAAGCCATAAACATTAGTCATAATTAGGTCACGGAGCACTGAATTCTGAAAGACTTACCAGAAAATAATTTCAAGAAGTACACATAACAAGCTGAATGAGATTCTGCAGTACATTAATACAATTACAGGAGCTAACATAGAGACTTTGGATACGTATAAATTAAAAGAAAAGTTATTGCAGCTACATGTAGCATTTGAAACACTATTAAATCATTTCTTCTGTTGGAATCAACGCTTTAAATAAAAAATTGCTGTCAATATGAAAATGCTTCTGAAAAGGGAGATGTGAATGATTTAGCCCTGGATAACTTTACTCAGAAATCAACAGTTATAGACCAAGTAAATCTTTTTAACTTAGCCAAAGGAAAGGCTAAGTAGTCATTTCACACCAGCCATAAGTACCTTACATGAGAAGATGATTTCAGGTAGGAGAAAAGTATGTTTTTTCTTCTTTTTTAAATCTACGAGAGAAATATGGAAAGCGTCCAGTAATTGGACACTGAAGGTAGATACAACTAGACAGAAATGAAGAATTTTTACAAGGGGGAGCTATCTTTATTGCTGAAACCTCTCGCCTAATCACGTGCAAGACTTGTAGTCTTCCTATTAGCTCAGAAGGAAGCCCAGTGCTAGCAGTGCAGGTAGAATTACAGCAGCTTCTAGCAGTGAAAGACAAATCAACTTCTTAGCCAGATGTCTTGGGTGCCAGACTGCTTGCTGCTTTCTTGTGTTCTAATGTCCAGTTTCTGCAGCACTACAAAGTTGCGGCGAAGGCAGAAAAGCTGTATGAGAACTACAAAGAAAGAAAGGAGAACCACCTTCACTCTGCAGGAAGAGACAAAATTTCTGATATGATGCCCTGAAATGATACATCAGGTATGCTGCCAGCAGTCTATCAGCACCAGGAGGTGGTAATGACCTTGATTTCCAAAGTGGTCTCAAGTTGGTTGCAATGGTGTTTCCATCCTTTCAGTATGTTTCCAGGGCAGAATTCTGCCCGTTATCTGCTCAAGGAAAAGAGGCCTTGTTGCAATCTTTGCTGCAGCGTTGTTCTTCCCTCTCTGCTGGGGCTCTTCTCCTTTCTCTGCAGCACAGTC